GTGTGCCTATCGACTTCTATTCGCCAATGTTGTTTCATTTTCTCTGCGGTAAGCTCTAGCACGTGCTTGTGCGGCTTGGATTATCATTTGCATTTGATGGATTGCAATGTACGGCATGCATGTATAAATAGATGTACAATTAAGAAAATGTTAAGAAAGAGGAAAAATTTTTTCATGTTTTTACATATTATTTTGAATGTGCGTTGTTTACATGTCATCATTTCAGAGTTGGGTCAAAAATGAACCCCGAACGCCGAACTAAAGTTTACTACGTAAGATCCACTTCAAGTGACAGCTACACCAAATGTGGCACAAGGCTATGTTAGGTTTGTGCGCATTTATACAACACGAAGAAATACTTGAGATAGACCTTTTATTACACCGATCGCTTTAGAATCATTTTTAAAATTATTTCTTGATTCAATCTTATATTGCATATCCGTTGGTCTGTTTTGTATTCTAGTAATCAACGTAAAAGTCTCAAATTTTTTAAAAGTTTTTCGATGAACCTTCGTACACCGTTCTGTTTGCGATATGAACGCTTCTGAAAAAGGTACGGACCAGATGTTTTCGGCCAATTCCCCTATAATGCCTTATTTTGAAAAGTTGTTATGATGAACAACCGTATTAAACGAAATGGTTTAGAGTATTCAACAGTACATGCAGAACAGTGATGTGCACTTAAAGTCGCGTTTTCGTCAAATTAAAGCAGAAAATTGTAGCAAAGAGTTATTGGCGCTTTCTTAGTTTTGATGAAACCATGCGAAAACCAAGACTTTAAGCACAAAAGCAAAAAAAATCTCTTATTGATATGCTGAGTATGACGGACACAAAATTAAACATTTCCTTTAACCGCAATAGTAATCAACTAGAACATGATCGCATTACATATCTGCCAGTCATATAAAAATAAAACAGCAATGCCATATGGGAATATAGAGCTGTAGAATTTTTCAAAATTTAAATATTATAAGTATTATTATTATTATTATTAATTTCGCCAGAGAAGTAAATTCTAAGACTAAACTCTTAAAAGCACTAGCATCTAAGGCTATCGGCTTTTTTATTAAAAACTCTACCGCACTTGAGATTCGAACCCACGACCATTGACTTGCTAGTCGAGATTCCTCCCCTTCGGCTACTCAGGCGGATAAGTATTATGTTTTGTTTTGTTTTTCTTTTTTCTTAATATCAAGTAACCGAATAAACCGATCCGAAAAATTCGATGTCTTTCACTACTAATCTCTCTCTAAAGGTCCTACTTATGCAAGTAGCCAAACCTTCTATCCTACGCGAACTCTAGATGACCAATTATAGCGGTAATTTTAGACACAAATAACAATATATGCTGTGCTCTTAAAAAGTAAACAATACACAACTGACTTTGACAGTTTATAAGTGCACTATGGATGTTTGTTTTCGTATAAGAAAGTAAGGGGGAAAAGCGACGAAGAATAATTGATTCCCGTCGGGCGTTTTCCGTCTTCACTTTAGATGTGATTGCAAAAGAGATCGTAAAAGTTTGCACATGGTTTATTATTATCATACGCGTTATGTAAACGACAATCGCAGAGCAGGTGCAAACGAATTTTAAACGAAAAAATCTACCAAAAAAGTAAACAATAACTATAGGTTTCCCGAATATGTCAAAATGTAATTTTTCTCTTTTTTTCATTACATGAACGCAGATTGAAGGATATTGCTCATTACAAATTCCTTGTAAACCTGTAAAGAAATTTAGGGAGATATTTAATATCTCCCTTTGTGTTGTGTCGAGTTGTAGATCGAGGTCAAGAAAAATGTTTCTAATATTATTCGTAAAAACTCTGTCATACTCATGGTAAAGAAACACCGAAAACACATCATTCACTTACATAAATGACTCAGAGCAGAGCATATGATACGACTATCAAGTCGGCATGACGACGCAAAATCTCCAAACCGATATAAGATACTTTAATAACGATTAGCCTGCGGCCGAGGTTATAGGGAATGCCTGATCGATAATGGTGTAACATTTGTCCTCTCTCCATATTTTTTCTAACCGTCGCTATATTTGCTTACGCGTAGGGTATATCTCGTGAGTAATGGGTGATATTAAAAAAAAAAAAACAAAATAATTGAAAACTTGGTTGACCACAGCTAACCATTATACATAACTATATAACGAACTTCCAAAATAAGGGTTCACCCTGAAGCCAAAACAGGTCAGTGCGTTGAATTTGGTCAATATATCTCAATAATTTCGATCTGTAAGTTGAAGGCAACAAAACAAGCCCGACAGGCGGACCTTGTCGATACGGAGTAAAGTCTATTTCCACCCTCTTACACACTTATATACTCTTGCTCCACAAGCATAGTATGTAAAAAGTTTATAGTTACGTGTCATCTATCATCGAGATTTACTGGCCATCGAAAGCGGAGCACTTCCACAATTATAGCTTCATGGTCTTTATCGCACACAGTTCGGAAAAATGTTTTCAACATTAAGGTTGTGAATATTAAAACATTGCAATTTCACTTCGATTTCCCTTAAATGGACTCATGTATGTGTGCACAATATTGCACTTAATATTGCTAATAGTGTCAGTCGAATCTAATTCGATTTTCAATCCAAGTTGTCCAAGCTGCTTTTTGAGATTTTTCTAAAATTACGATATGAGTTTCTTTTTTATTTTTTTTCTGTTTAGCGTAGACAATATACGTAAAGCATTTCAATTTCATTTTTGCTCCAATGGAACAAATAGTTTAATATATGCAATGAAGGATTAACTTGTGTTAATTGTGCTCAAGAACTTTACTTGCTTTTAATAATAGAATACAAATTCTTTCTGGTTAATTTGGTGTCTGCTTTGTTTTTTTGCGCAATTTGTTTACGACTGCCATGTAACCGCGATATCCACAACCATTTGAATATTTCACGGCCGATTGGTTGTCTTAGTCATGTTGCTGGATTTTAGTGTCACATTTCACGCAACGAATATATCCATTTCGCTGTATAGGTAATAAAAATAGACTATTTTTTAAAGGCTTTGCATCGCGTCCGCGCCTGCAGCTTGAGATATTAAAAGATAGATGTCCGACAATTAAGCAAACGCCGCTTGATTGAATGAGTGGAAATTGCTAATTAAAAGTTCTTGTGAATTGCACCGAGCTTCGCTGGCGATAATTTGAAACTATGAGGGAGAAAGTTTCTGCAGGTTACCAAATGGTTTTGTCTAATGAGAAAGAAAATGTGCGTAATGCGATACAGTCAGCTTAAAGACGGTTTTTAGAGCTATAATAAAGACTAACTCATATGAGCTGGCAATTACGAACACGAACGCCGCGAATCAGACATTAACCCACCAAGTGTCTTGTTTCACCTAATGAGAATGACTAGTTAGCACAGAGCATCTGAGATGATTTGCAAAAAATGGTGCAGGAATTTTACAAATGCCTAAACACTAAATTTGCGTTGACATCTCTTAAAAATTATCAGCTGTCGACGGGACTATCTTGAAAGTTTTCTTTAGCCATTTTGTTGTGGCTTTATAGACAAGTTGCGTCCATTTTTAAAATTTTTCATCAACGTTCCTTTGCATACACCGTTCAGTTTAAACTTTCCTTATTAACTTAACGCGTTTCGTGCAGCAAATCTTGGATTTCTTTGAAGTGGCTTTCGTTCGCAGATTTGGCTCGTCGTCCAGAGAGCTACTCGTCTTGAGCCGTCTTTCCAGCATTCCGCGGCAGAATATTCATTCGGCAAGCAACATTTAATGTAATGTAATGTAAATGCAAAACTATCGTTTGTATGTTAACAAAGATACGCGTAACTCTGGAGAAATTGGATATATTGACATGACACTCCACATATATATTTAAAAACAATATTAATTTAAAAAAAAAAAAAAAAAACGCTGAACATAAAGAACATATGTAAATAGTTTGAAGAAAGGAATAACTTTGTAATTTGCACGGTCCGAGATATGATAATATTAACTTTCTCATGGCGAACACTTGGAACTGTTTATTAAACTAGATATGCAAATATTAAAAAATATTTTTCTTGTTAATACGACTCGCTCGTGGGCATTGGAAAGTTCATTTTAAGAATAAGCTTAGAAAGCGTGACAAAATTTGATGAATTTTTTTCTTTTTTTGCATTTACTTATTCAATATATTAACATAATTATTTTTTTGTCACACCTTTTATAACCAAACATGTGATTGTAAACATAAAATCTTTTAGATAATCCGTTCCTGATAATTTAAGCTAATTAATAGCTTTTATATAAACTCACAATATCAGTATTAAGCTCTCGATAAATTGTATACGGAATACATCTGCATACATATCGAATACATCCATATACAAAACACAAAACACAAATACTAATCCACAAAAAAATATATTCACTAAGAAAAAAATGCGTTTGTGATCGTCAGGTTTTTTTTGTTTCGTTTCAAAATAATTATATAAAAGTATATGTGTTAATTTGTAGCGAATTTCACGCAAATTACAAAAACATTTTTGAAATCCGTTTAAGTACTTCAGAGTGTTCGAAAGCTGTGTACAATAAAAATTGACTTAAATGAATTTATTTTGATTGCTAAATTTTATTTCAGATTTAGTTGTAAATCTATCCGGAATATATAACGGTCGTAACGTAAACCTTGTTTAATTATTATTGTAATTAAAATTAAAATTCGATAAAATGTATATCGTAAGTGATGCATCGTGTGCTTGTTTTGTGAATTAATGACCAGTTAACAGAAAATTTATTCCAACCTTTATCCGGATATACGTTGAAAATATATATCAATCGTTGTGAAGCAGTTAATGCAGATTTAATTATTAATTCCCTTTCATGTGTATATCTATGTGTATGCGTGTGCCTTTGTGTATATAAATGTATATATAGATATATATATATATATATATATATATGTGTGCGTGTGTGTATAATTGCTATTTTATTTTTTTTATTTTTTTCATTTTATTATAATTTATTTTATAGCATCATCTGAAAAATATGAATGAAAATGTTGAAAACTCAAATAATTTATCGCATATTGCTGCAACATTATCCGGTTCCGGTAATACAGGGGGTACGGGCAGCAATGTCGGTAGTGTGGGAAGTTCGAATGCTACTGTTCTGAGTAATATAAACATAAATGATTTGAATAATTTAAATAATGCAAATAATAGAAGTACGTTAGTGATAGAAAATCAACCAAAACGTCGCGTTAGTATTGCCTCAGATCCCGCTAATGAGTATCGTCATACAGGCGGCTTTGACAACCCTGCCTTTGAACAAAATCCTCGTAGGAAAATATCGCAGGTAAGTAATGATATTATTTTTCATTTTATTTCATTAAAAGTGCTGCTGGAATTGAAGTGATTTTTTCTTCTTCCCCCGTCTAATTATCACTTATTTTTACGACCGAAGAACAGTAAACGCGACTTAACAAAGCTTTGATAAGGAAAATAGATTTTGAACGAAAAACGGTGAAGATGTGATTTTCCAAACCGTTTTCAGAAATCACTTTCAAAACCTAAATAGCAGGTCGCTCCGTCAAGACCCATGACATCAATTTGAGATCAAAACATATCAGTCAAACATATAATCCAGTTCGGTAGTGTAGTCCTTTTCAATCTATTTTCAAAAATATGGCCTTTAAGCAACAGTACCCAGACCTGTATATGTATCCAGACCTCGTCACTCAAGACAGTTTTGTTTAAAAAACCATGACTTAGTTTAAGTAATCGACGAACTTATGGCGAATGTATCTGCAAACGTTTGCTTTCGTTTGCCAAATGCCCATAAGAACAGCTAATCGGCGACAGACCAAAACCTACGTGAGATTAAAGTGACATTTCTTGTTAAAAAAGTCTGTACATTCTTAAGCAGTTAAGATCGATGTCTTACTGGCATTCATTTACTAATCGTTTTTTATATTGGCACATGAAGATGCACATCTTACACTTTCACGTAAGTTGAATGTTCTCCTAAACTGAGTTAGTCAATCAATAAGCCGAGTTAGTCAGTGTGAATAAATTATGTTTGAATTACATCATTATGCCCAGCAAAGACAATGTGTTATAATAAATGCAAGAAATCTCTATAATACATAGAAATATACGCATTAAAGACTCCGTATGTATGTATATACTGTATACGTAGTATCAGTAGTATATGTGTATATATAATGCGCGCGTATAGCGAATATCAGAAATATTTTTTTTCTAAATTAGCACTGCTGTGGCAGACAACTGCGCCAAGTATCCTATCATAAATGTGATTAGTGTTTCCGCCGCGCTTAGTTTTGCACCACACAACAGCGCACTTTCCAATTTTTGCAATGTCTGTGAAACAATGGTTTCCATTGACAAAGACATTATAAACCGTGTTACTCTGGGGAATGAAACTCAGGTCTACATTCACGACCTAGAACAAACTGATCCATCAAGCGAATACCGCAAAAAAGTTAAGTCAAGATTGAAAAAACCGAAGTAGTCAAAGTAGCTGAAAAATCAAAGTGATATTAACAGTTTTCTGCGAGAATCGTAATGTTGTGCACTATGAACACCATCCGCCGGGCCAACTATTAACAAGGGTTATTATTGTAGTTTCACATAGTTTTGGAATAATAAATTTTAAAAAAGAAAAAATTAAATTGGTCTTACTTTTTGGACACAGTGGGTTATATTTATATATATATATATATATATATATATATGTATATCTATATATATAAATGAACAGTGAGAACTGTGGATTTTATCAGTTCACTTGTCTGTCTCCTAGCAGGCGTGCGGAGATCTTGCTTTTTGTATTCCCTTAAAAGTCATTGAATCAGTTCACATCTCAGGGAATTATTGAACATGCCAAGAAGAATGCAAGAAAGCGGAGTAAGAGATAAGTAGCAAAACATTAAATTAATATTTTTATTTAAATAATTCGAAAACTAGTAAAATATGCGATGTGAACATTAATCTATTTATCAAATAAGCACATTGACGTGTTAATTTTCTAAATAAACATCGGGGTAGAGCAAACTGGAGACAAACGTGACTTTATTATTATTGTTGATATATAGTTTCGATGACAACAAAACAAATCAATATGCTAATGAGTATACACAATAGGGTGATTTTACAGTACTTTGTGTCTGTTTGAGTTCAACTTGAAAAATATTTGAAAACATGAAGTCAGCGCAGAGTAAGGTTAGTTTTAATGCTTCGATAAATCATTCTCATTATAATGTGAGGCGCAAGCTCCAATTATTATCTATTCGTGATGATATTTCCCTGAAACCTTGAAAAGTCATTATGAAATTTTTTAACGATTTATTTATTTTGATCGTTTCATCTAATCTTTATTTCGCCTGTTGGATCAGTTATTGCCAGTAAAAATTCAAAGTGTACGCCTGATTTCTTTGAAATACAGCTCAAAGTACGCATTTGGTTTCCAAATACAATGTGTATGTTTATTCAATTTTCATTGTGGTTTTTTTCTCATTTTCGATCATTTGCTTTTTACCATCAGTAAAGAATGTTTTCAAACAATGCGCTAAGTTTACGTGTAAATATGAATTCGCCGACTTTTGTTTAGTTCCCGTGTAACAAAAAAATTAACTTCATTCGTTAAATATTATCTTTAAGAGAAGCGAAAACGTTGCCATTTTGTACGCCATATACCACGCAATACAGTAATGTTCATAAGGACTTTTCAAATAACACATTGTATGAGGTGTGGTAGTAAATTTGCAGTACCGTTTATCCTGTGGCACGCATACGTTAGTATACAAAATCTCATCAAAATATGTTAAAAATCTGCGGCATGTAGCTTAAGCACGAAAATGCATAGACAGGCACTAGATGGATAAACGAATAGATAGTCAGACAAACCTAGATCGATTTAGAATGACTTTCGTTTTGATAAATCCCTCTGCGCATTGCACACATACTCACTTGAAACACACTAGTAGCAAAAGTTGTCTAGAGTAGCACGGATTGTGTAGAGTTATATCGAGGCCGCCTGTGTATAATATTTCATATTTATATAATACATAGTTCTTTCGGATAAACGAATTTATAATATTAATAAAAACAACAACAGTTTAATTGTTGCCATGATTCTTAAACTTATATTTTATGAAGACGAGTCTCTTAGATTTCATATACATCAGTATAAATATGTATGTATTGAAAGGCAAAGTGCAATTATTAATATATAGAATTAGGCCCGCAATGAAATATTTGAAAAAAATTGTTAGACATACGCTCTATTATAAATGTGTCTTTGAAATGTGTCTTCGATCTGATAAATGTCACTTATATCAGACAACGAAAAAAAAATCACGTCAATGATATAAGTCTTTGAAAGTAAGCATCTAGCTCTCGGACGCGGAGGACAGTTTCATACTTGCCTAACTTTTTTATTTAATTCAAGAATGAATGCATGTATTGGTTGGACAAGTGATTGATTTATACATTTTTTTCAAATTTGTCAAATAAATAATTGTGAAAGTGTGCGAAAGAAGACCGCATGAACTGTTAAATTTTTCATATATGTACTTATTTTTTGTGAAGCAGACAATGTATATTGTAAGGTAATAGGTACATGCACAAAGGACCACAACCGAAAAATCGAAATGAGGAAAATCCACGAAGAAGACATGCGCAGGGGCTTGTCAGTGACATTCAAAAACTGAACTAAAAATTAAAAGGAAACAAGTCAAAAGAACACTAATCACGATAAGCTCCCATAACCCATATCAAGTGTGCAAGTATGGAATTGTGATTTGGGGAACACATGTTGCATTAAGGCAGCATGTAATAAAAAGATTCGGTATGGGCGGGATTTTGTTGCGCTATCGGCTAGTCCCAAAGGCATATAGATACAAAATTGAGAAGGCGTTTCCGTAGAATTTTTCCGCTGTGTTCAGTACGTCGGAATTTGTATCGAACAAGGGGCATCCACGGGCAGAAAATAGATGCGTAAGCGTACTAATTAAACATGGTTCATCGCAAGGTATGTGGAAACGACAGCGTCGACGTTTCAAAATTAGTGGAATTTTGCAGACAAGGTACACGAAGAACTGAAAACCGGTTGCCTTTGATTACAGAATCGTATGTTTTTCGCTTTACGTGTTCTGAAAAGAGAGAACGGTCAGAAAATATAAAATTCGATAACCGATTTCATTGCCATTGCTATAAACAGCTTCATCACACACTTTTAAATTCTGGGCAGAGACACTGAAGGCTCTGAAATCACTCTTGACCTTTCAAAAGTTTTCTCGATAAGCTCGAGTAATCTATTTTTGTTTGGAAACATTTTTAAAAGAACGTAGGCACTTTCTGAAGACATCTGCAGTTGCTTTGGGCTGTAGCTTCCCAGCAAGTCCTTTTCCTCGCTACTCTTGTCAGAGCTCTCAGGGCAAAAGTACAAAATTTCAAGTCACAGACCTCCTTTAGATAATGAATTTTTTCCGCATATTCTAGAAAGTTCAAACCATATATTTGGCCAATAGAGAAGATAAAAGATTTTCTAAAAAACTTACAGTGGCGACTGGCTTTACCTATGCAGAGTTTTGTTTTTCCTCCATTGTATTTTTCTATATGGATTTTCCCGAATAATAAATAATTTTTTGTATACCCGACAACTTAGATCTCTCTTGGGCCCCTTTCTTCCCTTACCTAACCTAAATTATTGTGGTTCGAAAAGTTGGTAATAAGTTTTCTATCTTCTTTTCATAATTTGTTTCAGACATCTGTACACTCACACACTGATATCGGTCCGGCTCGGCGGAAAAGTATTTTAGTAAGCAATACCGGTCATGAAAATGAATCAGATCTTGGTTCTTTACACAGTTACGGTAAGTTTTTCTTTTTTCATTTTGAACAGACTTCCTGCCCTTAATCTTTTCGTCCATTAGCAATATCGTGGATAAGATGCGCGTTTTTGTAAAATATATCCAAGCTTCTTGATAGCTACAGTCCATAAAACTTTTTAAAATCCATATGTTATTGTTGCTAATGGTTTTTGCTTCAAATTGTGAAACAACAGTATCAAAAATTTTGGGCAAAACGAACTTAATCGGTTCTTTCACATCCCTACAACCTAAAAAAAGCTCGGGGCGGGTGATATCTAAGAATGTTCTTAATTGAAGTTGCAGTGAAAACAATTAACAAATTCATTGTAAAGATTTATGGCACCCATTATTGATAAAGGAGCTTACGTTTTGACTTCCATCTCACCAAGAGACTCTAATGTTCAGTTTCGAACATCTCTTAATATATATTTTGAACTTACACATAAAGATCGACAAAAATCCTTACTGCACTCGGCATTTGCATTGCAGTAAAATGCTTATGTCCACTTGCAAACCGAACAACTTCCTTGCGAAAAATGCGCGAATAATCATATTTTGAAACAATTATTCTCACTCCGTCTCCTTTATATGGTTTAGATCATCGATCATGTAGACTATCAGCTCTTGATGTTCTCAACACAAAAATCCAACAACATCAACAGAATCAACAGTTTCCTAATAATTTGGAAGAATCCTGGCTGTACACATTTTGCATAAAATGTCGCGGCGAAGAGAATACACCGTCCTGGGAACCGCCTCATTGGCAGAAAATATGCCCGTACCCTCTTTGTCCATCATTTAGACAATTCGCCCGCATCACCGTTCTCATACTGATTGGCGTACTGCTTTGGATTTCGGCTTATGTGATTATCGGCGAAACAGCAGCCCCAGGTGGGCAATTGTTTAGCCTGGTAGTGCTAACTGTTGCGGCAAATTTTGGAGGCTATATAATCTCATTGACTACTTTGCCTCGACTAATCGGTATGCTGATAGTAGGCATACTATTTCAAGTGAGTTTCGACTTTTCTAATAGTATAATAACATATAGATATAATATCTTCTATTGATTGAATTATTTTCTCTTTAGAATATAGGTTGGGCTAATTTAGATGGGGAATTCTCCCATGTTACATCGCATTTGCGTAAATTTGCTTTGACCATTATTCTAATACGAGCTGGTCTCGAAATGGAGCCGGATGCTTTTAAAAAGGTCTACAAGACTATTTTAAAGTTAGGTATAATTCCATGGATTTTAGAATGCTGTGTTATCGGAGTCAGTAGTCATTTTCTACTAAGCTTACCATGGGTATGGTCTTTTCTATTGGGTGCCATTGTAGCGGCCGTCTCACCGGCTGTAGTTGTGCCTTGCCTTTTTCGATTACGCACCAAAGGTTACGGTGTGGCTAAAGGTATACCTACGCTGATTATTGCCGTGGCAGGTATCGACGATGCCTTATCAGTAGCCATCTTTGGCATCATCAGCAGCGTAATGTTTTCGGATCGCGGTCTAAGCTATCAGATAGCCCAGGCTCCAGTCTGCATAGTGGGCGGTTTAGCCTTTGGCGTCATTTGGGGCTATGTGGCCCGTTACTTCCCTGAAAAAGGTGATCCTTATATAGTACCTTTAAGAACAATCATGTTATTCTCGGGAGGACTAACGGCGGTTTATGGAAGCGAAGAAATAGGCTTCGAGGGTGCTGGACCTTTGGCTGCTGTGTTTGCTGCCTTTGTATCAAATTTGTTTTGGTGCAAGCAAGGCTGGGAAGTTGAGGATAATCCTGTAGCCACAGCGTTCGAAATATTTTGGATGATCTTCGAACCAATTCTATTCGGTATTACCGGAGCTACAGTAAAGGTATGAATTTAAAGAAGAAAAAACGAATCTTCTTAAGTTAACTTCCACTCCTAACGACGAAAGTTAGACGTTTATTTTATACATTATTGAAGAAATCCAGAATGTAAAATCATGTCCATTCCCGATTTTTTTTTTGTGTCGAAAAATCCCCGAAAAATAGAGACTGCTTTTTTACAAGTTTTTGAAGTGAAAGATAAAGAAATGGTTTTTCAAAATTAAAAAAATAAACTAAAACGAATGCTTTGCACTTCAACTACTTCAAACTCAAAGACATTCGCGATCTAGTGCTTTATAAAAATTGGCATCAATAAGCAACTATAACAATAAGTAATTACTCCGAAATGTTCTATGTGTTGCGTTAGGTTTGACAAATATTACTTAATACGCAATATAGACGAGCAAAGGAAAACTCGATATATTCGGTTCCAATTCTAGTAAGTACTAGTCTTTAATATTTCTTGAACTCTATACCTTCGAAGAATTCTCTTTTAGCAACCAGCTTTTCTGACGCTTATATCTGCAATCCAATCAACGTCAACACAATATTCGATTGACTTTAATGCATCGTACATATAGATCATTGGTTAATCTTGAGTTATTCAGCGACTTTTGCTCTTAGCAAAAGTCATTAGAATGATTTCATTGCGAAGTGCAGAAGTTTTAAGAACAGTTAATCACTTATATTTGAGAACAATGAAACTAATTAGCCTTTGGCCTATAGAAGCTGAACTAATCTGTAAGATTTATTTTTTATTAAGGGTTCGTATTCGTTTTTCAGTACGCCGTAGGATCATTTTCTTTTTTCGCTTTGCTTTTTCCACTGCCGCTACTTTTTTCCCCCGCAAACTCAGATTCGCTTTTTATATCCGTCACCGAAAGATAAGGGTGTATTAATTTTTTCAAAACGCTTGTAACGCCCATAACGAAGCTTCAGAGACCCCACACAGTATGTATAATCCTGATCAGCACCAAATTCTGAATCAATTTAAGCATGCCCGTCTGGCCGGTTGTCCGCTTTCCCGTCTATCCACTTGTATAATCTCTGTTGCAAACATTCTTCTAACTGCAAAACTAAAGTTATCCGCTTTAAAATTTGGCAAAACCAATAAAAGTTCTTGCACGCAGGTTGGTGTTGCAAATGGGCCAAATCGGTGGAAAGACAAACCCACAGTACCACGTAAACGCTGAACTGATCCGTTTTTCGAGGAGAATAAAAGAATGGTTTGTTGCCTATTATTCATAAACTATAGCAGATATACGAGCAAAAATTTGAATGTATATTCTACGCTGCAGTATCTGCACAAAGATGAAAAAAACTCACTACGTCTAACCAATATTATAGTGCAGCAAAGTTTAATTTTTTTTCCACACCTTTATAACGCGCAGAAACCAGCGTCAACAGCCCCATAAAGTATGTGAATTCTATGGCACTTTTGAATATGGAGAGCACTTAAAAATGTCTCTTTGTTTGGCCGTCCATCTGTCCGTCTGCACAACTGTCCAGAATCTGTGGTAAACATTCTCCCAATAGCGGAACTGAAGATGTCCACTGAAAATTTCGACAAGGGCTTGGACGTAACATAAATTCGTTATTCATGCCTTTTAGAAGTTTGAGTGAAGTCCCTCTCAAATATATTAACAAATTTTGTGCAAAAATCTTTGGCTTTGTCCGCAAAACATTAATACGATTACAAACCGTGCTTTTTCATCAATAAACATTAGTAAGCATTTCGTTCCAACAAGTCTTTTGTCTCGCTATGGAAGCACATCAATGACTTTACTTAAAAAATTTTTATACTTAAGTTTTTCATTTAATTCTTACTTAACCGAAATACTGTATGTGGTTCGTTAAAGGATGTAATTTCAAAGATGTTGTAGAAAGTTCGAATGAAAAGGTAGCAAGATTTTGGAGTTAAATTACTTCGCTTTTTAAAAAATTCTCCTGCGTGTCTGCTGAAATCAAACCTTTGCCACTAGCACAGTAGTCTTTTTAAGAATCATTTAAGTCGAAAAAGGAAATATTAATGTTCTAAAGAAATCAGTGTAATGTTACCATTTAAAGCCTTTCTAAATTCTTTAATATTTTTTTAGATCGATGAACTTGACTCTGATATTGTTTCCGTGGGCATTGGTTGCCTTGTAGTCGGTTGCGTTTTACGCATACTGTGCACAGCAGGCCTTGCCTTCGGTGACCGGTTAAATATGAAAGAAAAGTTTTTCGTGGCGCTGTCTTGGATGTCCAAAGCCACTGTACAAGCTGCTTTAGGTCCGGTGGCAGTCAAGCATTTAGGTTCTGATGCCAGCGAAGAGGATAAACATTATGCATACGTTGTACAAACCATAGCTGTGTTATCGATTGTATTAACGGCCCCTTTGGGAGCAATTTTAATATCAGTAACAGGCACAAAATTGCTTACGAAGACTAAGCAGCCGCAGATTGTAGAAGGTAACATATATATTTGTATGAAACGAAAATTAGAAATTATAATACATTTTATTTGCAAAAAGGTTGGCGACGGAGCCATCGTCCGTCTATACGTGACATCAGTATTATCGACGAGGAAGAAGAACGCGAGGACCCTGAATTGTCGGAAGACAAAGAAACAGCGGACAACACACAAACGAATGCTCACATACCCAACTTAACGTTTACCTCAAATAGCAAGTAAAGGAATGTAGGTAGATTAGGAAGGTGCAGTCTCTTAATTGCCTTGAACAATTTTTATTGTGTATGTAGTTTTGCTGCAGTTGTAACCACAAGTTGATTCCAGATGAAAACGTTCTCTTAGAAATTGTTTAAAAATTACAAAAAAAAAAAAACTCATGGTGTAAATATTTAAAAGTTACGTTTATTAAAAAAAAAAAACTCAGAAAACTAAAGTAAATTTTATTTTTGTTATTTCATTTTATTTTTCTAATGATTTTCCCAAGATATCTTCCAATACCCGCACCTGTAAATTTTTCCTCATCAAAGTTTTCAGCCATGAAATCTATTGTCTCGACCAACAGAGGAATGGAATCAGCATCCAACCTCCGAGATAATCCCTCGCCACATTCGAAAAGGCAAATTCTCATCTCATTATCTCCTATGTAGCGATTTGTGTGTTAAGCAGAGTCTGCTAGATCAATTGCTTCCACATAACCTTACCAGATATGTCTACTGCCAATCGACCCATGAAAAATATAAGTAGTTGTCCTACTGATTCCTTCCTTAAACCTAAAGAGTTTTCTACACGTTCAACGAACGCAGGCATATATATATGAACTCCAAATTGTTGCATATTATTAGCCTTTTTGCTACCATGTAGAAATATATGATAGCAAGTGTTTAATAGTCATCACTAGCTCTTCGAATAAGCGCTCATCCACGTATTTTGAATTTCGTTGACTAAAATTAAATCCATTTAGCAGAGGGGCAACACCTTCTATGAAATCGCCAGCAAAAAGCGCAATGGCTTTAACATTTCAAAAACTTTGTGGGTCGAAGGGTTTTGTATAATATTTTTCTCGCAGTTTGCGGTCATTTTAGGGTCAACGTTACAAAAGCGGATCACGACCGCATTTTCCGTCTTCTAGTCTTACATGGAATTCTACAAACTGAAAGCTTTATGACAAACACTTTTCGATAGATGCTAACGTTTGATTCCCATCTTAATCAATAGATTGCGTTACGTAAAATTCTTGTTTTTCCCATTTGTGCACGGGAGGAAGCTCACGTATACAAGGAGCTATTTTCAATAGTCTTTGTTGACCGCTGATCTTCTCCACATCGTCGGATATGGGCCTCAATGACGCACAATGCTGTCTATATGTCTGCAATGGCTTCAAGTGACTTTTGCATATCGAAAGCACAAACAACAGTACAAGATATTTATATTATTTCAAAGAGAATACTTTGAACCATTTCGTCCATAGGGGCGTTATGTTAAAAAATTTACTTCTTCAATCCATTTAATTGTTCGTCTACGCGCATTTGATCTTATCAAGCAGTTAGATCCTTACCAAGGAAACAAATCATTTCAGTGAATCTCCGCCAAAAATCTCTGCTCAGAGGTAGCAGATTAATGAAATGGATCGCAAAATAATTTTATGAAATATTTTAACAATAGTGTTCATCCTGAGTCAGAAATTTTTTGAAGTTGCTGAAGGCAGGGGAAATTGGAAACACTTGTTACTTGCTGTGAAATTGTTTGGTTCAAAACACCTGCCAAGACCCATGATTTTTTAATTTGTTTCAAATTCACTGCAGTATTTCACAAATATATTATTTGCTTTTCTATTTAAAAAAATTATTGCTCACCTATAGTACTGTCAGCCGATCGTTTTCTAATCAATTGAGCTTGATTTTGGAAGATTCTCATCAATGTGTAACGTGGACATCTAAGTGAGAAGTTAAAAATTTGAAGGTTTCTGTGCTGCTGGGGAAATAGCTCTGTATGATAGGAAAGAAGGATCAACGGATTTTGCTGTGATTCAGGTTTTTTTTAATGAGGCCCTCAGGAAATGCTCTCTTTAGATAGTATTTATTTTTTTGAACAGATTTTCCTAATTGTTCATTTACTGTTAGAAAGAAAAGGTCATTCCGGAATTCTCTTATACTATAATAATAAAAAAAATAATTTCATATATTCTAATTGACATGTATTTAGAAATTTCTCATAATATATTTTATTCCAACTCTTCAGAAATTCGCACAACTAGTTCTAAAATGGTCGGATTTCTGATACGATTTTCAAAAGTATTCTCACTTAGTAGTCCAGCTGGTTCACGAATCCCTGCTACAAGCTTACGGCCGAAGTAATTGTAACGGTATGATCGTTTCTCAGAGTCAATTTTCTAGCCTTTTTATTATGTTGTGCGTTGTTTTTTAATAGCCGCATACGCAAATCCACAAATCTACTGACCTTTCTTTCATGCAAGTAAAAATTAATTACAAATATCAGTTTTGCTCGCGGATCTTTAAATATCTATCAAATAATTCCTTTACTATTTTCACTCATTGCTTTTGTTCGGTTGGATATAACGCTTCTTTAGAGACGTCTGCAAAGGCTTTAAACAAATACTGTACAATGCAAGTCTATATAATGCAAGTCTCTATATAATGCGACTTCTAATCTAAATTTCATTCTCGGCCTGTCAAAAGTTTCACGCAAAGTCGCTGCGTAGGTTGAGAGATGTGTTGATATATTTCTCAACAGTTCCTCATTGTCATCTCATGCACGATCCAAATAACAATTTTTCAATTCTGGCAATAGTTTCCGGGTTTTTAAAGGTGTTTGGACAGACGATAAAAGTATAGCATTTTGCTTTTAATAATCAGCTTTTTTCCGATTATTCCTTTCCTTTAATTAGAGATTAGACAAAGGCTCTTTGATATATTTCTCATATGTTGAAGGATATTGTCATTCCAGAACTTGAAATATATTCACCATTTCCTCGATCACTTCAGCATCGTTCAACGTAATTATTTCGGTATCTTCCAAAGTTTGTGTCGTGCGAATATTGTTTTACGAAAGGCACAAATCTAGAAAACGATTGAAACAGAAACTATAGTAGAAAAATGGCATGAAGTGGCATGTATTTCAACTTACTTGTCATTTGCTGAGCGAAAATACGACGAATTTGCAGGACATTTAGAAAGCGTTCTAGGAATTTCTTTCACACTTTTAGACATTACACCATAGTGGCGCTTCTTATATAGTCAATGTCCGCACTTCCATTACATTATTCCGCCAATATATCACTTCTCGTGATTTGCGTATTAAAAATCCTTATAAAAAGCTTCACAGCGGAGCGCAATAAACGGTGAAAAGTTACCGGCCCAAAGTTTACTTTAAGAAATTTACTCAATTTGGTTTTAATTGGTGCCAATTCCGTCTATGGAAGGGACGTTGCGAGGAACTAGTAGCAAATTTTTGATTCGAAATATTGGCCGTCTAGGCTACAAGTTTTTATCACAAAATAGATCCATTTTGCGTCTTACAAATCTGGGGCGGCATTTCACTAGTTAGCTTTCACCATCCATAAAGCTATTTTGTTTATAAGAAGAAATTATTTTTAGTCACTTCTTTTTTCTTCCCAACAAAAAATAAAATAAAATTTCCCGACAATTGAAACTCGTTTCGTTGTTTCTATTGTACTTCATTTACAAGTTTATTTGTGTGGCATTATGTGAGCGTAACGATGATCGTGGTAAATCCTATGAGCTAGGCTGATCAAGAGTGAAGTGCATGCGTGGCATTTAACAATGCTGGATAAAGCAAGCTTGTCGTATCGAACTTTTCAAACAGATGCAATCCAATCAACATGCTCTACATAGTAAATTTCATTTGCACGCTGGGGAGGAAATATATTCCGACGATTTTTGCAATCATTTGCAAATAGATGTGGTCTCTTTGTATATAATTTTTTTAGTTAAAATGATTACTTCGGGTTTGCAAATTATCTATACGCAGGTAAGTTAAAATGAACAATACTTTTTACATTATATTAAAAATTAAATATTTTTCTTAAAGGGTGAAGTGGCTTTTATCCAAAATTTGGTGTACTATGTTGAAAGAGCTTATCGTAAACCAGATTAAAGGTAAGGGAGCAAGAGGAAGAATTGAATTTCAAAATATTTGAGCTTTAAAATATTTGACGATAATAAAGTCTGTTAACTTGTGTAGATTACTTAAATTGCCAGTCTTCTTAATATAGACTGCAATCGAAGGCGACCGCGAAATCCTGCACAGTTAGGCCATTGTTTCATCCCTCATTGGCACATCAATTAACTTAAAGTTTATCGGAATCGATAACGTGGTTGCACTCCGTAGGCAGTATAGTTTCCAGCAAAATGCAGCTGCAAATCGTACCTGTACTCCTTTTTTTAGATTAGCAGTCGCCACAACAGAAGACAGCCATTATAGGAAGTTGCCTACTCTCCATGGACGAACTGCAACGCGACTAGTTCTCTTGTCTCGTTCTAAATCTGAATTATGGGACGGAAACCTTTTTTAGAAACATGTATACCTTTTTTACTATTTTATTACTATATAAATATTTTAGATGTTCCAACGATAAACGGTTTTTTGATTTATTCCAAGCGCCACCAAACCATCTCCACTACGAAAAATTTTTCTTCCCGAGTTTTTGGGCAATTTTCACTAGTTTTTATTTCTATTAATACCGTTTCAATTTTCCCATTTTTCAACCACAACTGCAATTTTATAATTTTAATCACAAAATGTTCTTCAAATTACAGCTTATTATTATTATGGTATTGCGCAACCAAATGAAATGCTTACATAGTGAGAATAAATAAATAAACAAATTGAAAATAATTCTGGGTGCGACTAAATTGTTGCTCAGCTGATAACTTCAAATGTGTGAAATTGCTTAGTATCCACAATTGCAAAGAATTGCCAGGTCTTAAATAAACGAAAAAGTGTTGTTTTATAATCGCATGTGGGTTTGAGACTAAGTTTTTTTTGTTATGTTTCTTATTTTCATGTCATTTAGATTTTTCGGTGTATTTTGGACACAAACCAAACATTTAAGAGAACACAATTATTTTTGGAACAAAGAAAAAAAAGCAGGAGAAAACAGGGAATAAAAACGATTTTTTAAATCTGGAAGTTATTTATTAAATTTTGTTTCATATTTTGTTGTTTTAAATCTTTTTTTATTTTATATGAATTGAAATTTTGAATTGTATTGAACATTTTGTGTTAAAACGCAAAGAACAAGAAATAATGACGTTCTACTTGCAATATGCAATAAAATTTACTTTTTAAATCGTTTAGTTAGAGTGTAAAGAGTAACCCTCAAATTATTAAACAAATAATAAGGGCTAATAAGGTTTACAATTTAGGAGTTGAACTTTCTATGCATGAGTCAGCGAGTTCGTAAAAGATGCTTAGGCTAACGGATATGGCAAAATAATCTCTGGTTTTTGCAACATGTTAACGCATGTTCGCATAGTCGTTCATGTTTCAGTAAAACAAAATTTAACATTAAGTGTATATGATAAAAGCGACATCGAATTCCTTAACAATTCGCGTTTTCAACTTCGCCTCACTATTGTAAATCATAGAGACCATAGAGATATACTCATTTTGTCAAAATAATGCGCCAAAACGACCAAAGGACATGTCCAGAATGCAATACAAACTGAGAACACTTTTGTTCTCGAAAGTAACAAAACTAATTTTTGTTTTATCATTTATAACCTGTAAGGTACTCAGTAGGCGATCCTCCAGTACCTACAACTAAGGAAGTCAGTCATGCCCATCTACTACTATGAGGTGTTAAAACTCCACTTTTGTTGTCTTTTTTGCCGAACGTAATTATATTCTACACCATTTGTGGTAAACGGTATATTAAGTTAATAGCGATTTAATTAAGAAGGTCTTAAGAGAGCGCCGCATCTTTCATTACCTTTATTGGTTAAGAATCATTTTCTGAATTGATTTAGGCTTGTCTGTTCGTAAGAAATCTGTTTTGCGTTCAACCTACAAATCGCAATGTTTGATATTTTCACGAAATTCGGCATATTGACGTGTCTTGACCCAAGGACAAACCCTATTGAAAATGAATTGGATCAGATCATTTTCGTGACTATTCCCCATATTGTGCATTATATGGAAATGGAGCGCTGTCATATGAAAAATTCTTGCTCTTTACAAATTTCTTGACGAAAATCGCTAAGTAACTGTAATTCGTTTGAATCGGATGGTGTGGTGTTTTGAACGTCGTCATATATAGTCCTTTCGACAATTTGTAAGCCTTTACATGCGAAACGGTCTAATTCTACCAAATCTGGATCTTATAAATCGCAAGCTATATATGGGTAATAATGCTAAGTAAGTATGCATACGTCTTAGTACTTTCTGAAGAAAACAGATGACTACTAAAAAGCTCATCGGCGAGAAGATTGGTTTTGCTAACTTTGGACAGCGTTTATTCACCTTTTGGGCCCGATCTTCTACATAAGATATTAAACTAGACTATTCTCCCAAAGGCCAAATAATGCAAGTAGTTGCTGCTGAGCCTGAGAGAATCGTGGTGATCTCTTAAAATACGTAGGGTAAATGGTGAAGTCGCGGAACATATTTAATTGCAACCATTTTCAAGGTAAGTAGTATTAGAAGATGTGGAGGAAAGTCGTGTAAAGCAAGCGATGTTTAAAATATTAGGAGGTAGTAGATATTCTTGACTGACTCAGACCAGGCACAGCATTGCTCATGTTGCATTCACGCATGGACAGACTAGTCGCTATTTTCTATGGAAACACTTTGTCAAGAATGAACGCCTTTTACACTATTTAAGATACATAACGAAAGGTATTTAAACTTCTTTCGAAATGGAGAAAAATGTTATTTTGTAGATTTGGGGAAGAGAATGAATTTTAATGATCGAATATTTGGCAATGTTTACTATTTTATTCTATTACGGTGAGAGAGTGTTGCGGCATAAAAGTCTTAATAATCACCTAAATCTCATTCACAGCTTAAGCAACGGTGGAGAAAACTTTGCGGCCAGATATCAAATTGCAAAAGTTACTAAAGGAGATGGAATTTGATGAACATAAAAGAGCAATGGAAGGTCGCATAGCCACCTTAATGCAGACGTTTTAACAAAACTCTTAACAAAAGATACACATGGTACATGCATTCATTGCTAAATATGCGATTTGAATTTCGACATTTGACAGCTACCACAAAAGTCAAATAGATAGAAAAAAGCTAACACTGACAAATCTATGAGCTTTAGAGAAATTGCCTGCAATCTTCGCACATATATTATGGAAGCCGTGAACTGATACCTACAGCGATCATCGGGAGGTATAGTTTAGCAAGATTTGGTTCTAGAAGTAAATGTTAAAGAAAATAAATTGTGAAAAATGTTATGCCCAACGTCGGTAGCAACCATCTTCTCCGAAATTACGCAGCAAGAACGAGTTAAAATGCGGAGAATGTAGAGTTTTTTAGAAAGTTTGTTTTTCCCCATTTTTATGAACCTGAGCAACCTTCGGCAACCGCGTACAGAATAACGTGCAGATAGACATATTTGTCGATTATTGAATAATTTTTATTTCATTAATTTCTTCTCTTCATTGCTACTTTTTACCTGAATAAACATCATCAGATTATAAATTAAACAAGCTATTATTATTATTGGTTTTCCGTTATATTTTCGAAGATTATAAATTAAGAAGCTAAGCCCGAAACATCGGTTAATAAAAAGGGAACAATAGAAAAATACTTTTAAACCCGTCGCATACGCGCTTCGCAAACGAAATGAAATAGATATCGAGTCAGAATAATACAAAACGATTTGTCATATTAATTTAATAATGATTTTAATTTAAATGACTTTATTTTATATCAAGTCTTCTGCACACGCATTTGTCCCATTGTGAAGAGACAAACAAGCAGTGTGAATTTTAAAGAGGCAAACAGCAATATTTCTATAAAATGAAGCAATTCACCCTTAGTGCTTATGTGCAAATATATGCTTTGTTGTTATTGTTGATGCGGTTATTAATATTTAGTCTACATTAATAAAATAAAGTCGAGATAATCCTACTTTTGGCCCTCAGTGTCATCAAATTAACAATAATTCATCATTTATTGTTGTTGTGTTGTCATTCCTGACTGTCTTTTGTAGGGAATTGATTTTTTCTTAACCTTCTTGATGGCGAATGATTTGGGAAATCATAGACTACTTGGATTTTTAGTTCGCTACGTAAATCTTGTTCCTCTCCCCGCACATTCCACCCCACTCATTCTACACGCATACGATAATTTCATCTTTCAGCATCTGGCCAATGTCATAAATAATTTATTTACTGCCCTATGTATAGACGTATGGGTACGTTACCGTAATGTTTGCACATAAATCTTTTGTGCTTCTCCAGAAGCTGAATCATTTGATGGCAGCTTATATTTTGACTGCCTTTGCTTTGTTCTCTACAATTCATTATTATATTCTTTTACCAGAGTTTTTTTTTTTTTGTATTGCATTTAAAATCTCTTAAATTGAAAGCTTTTAGAAGAGTTTTCTTATTTTCCGGTATCCGAAAAGCCTTAAATTAACTAAGTTAAAGAAGATACGACAAAGAATACTTCCAAAGAATACTAAGTTTTACTTACTATGGTTTATACTGCGACATAGTCAACCTTGACTTTGGCTGATAAATTAGTTTTAGAAACGTTGCTTCTGAGAGAACAACTTTATGAAAGAGGAGGGCCTTCTCTGTCGATATTTGAATTTGAGGAATATTTTTAAATATTTTGAAAACGCCTCAAGATTCAAGTTCTGAACGGTTGCTTTCGAAAATGCTACGGTTACTCTTTATTCACAAAAATTGAAGCAATTTTATCATGCCCAATACATATGCACAGACAACAACGAGCACAAGCATGAATATTTGCATAAAAAGCTATGAGAACGATGGAGCTCGTGTTGGGGCTTTTAAAAACATGAGAATATTATAATTTGAAACATAATTTTATGGTTTTTGGTCGTTGACAAAATTTTTGAACAATAGAAACTTTACCAACAAAGCAGAAAGCAAAAAGAGCCATGTAAACAAGAAAAGTATCTTCGACGAATTTCGGATACCCTTTACCTAAGGAAGCGGCATGACCGTCGGTTGACCATTGCATCTATCTTTTGTATGTAGGTTAAATTACTCCTGAGGCTTGAATCCATCCAGAGCTAGTACGCAGCTGGATGTATACTTTTTCGGGGCTAAGAAGTTGGCTTACTTCTTCGCGAACTTTAGCGCAATTAATTAAGTAATCCATGAATTTTTCCAATTTTACAATAGAATATCAGAGATCATTTCTATAAGCGATGGAAAAGATTAAATTATTAATATACTCTCATATAAAAACTGCACTAAAATTTATTTAGGTAAACTTGAGTTTGCTTGCGACATGTCTAGCAAGACTATTAAGAGAATTGCACCCGTCGAGCTAACAACTAATTTGTACTAATTAGAGGAAATGTAAAAAGTTTTCCTGTGCCTGCATGGAAAAGGGTAGAGGAATTCACAGAGAGATTATAATGTTACGTAAAACTTTAGTAATTTAATTTTATGTAAGCAGCATGACTAATAGTTTTAATTAAGTTTTTAACAAAAGTAAATAGCGTATCTCGATAGTAAGATGATGCTTAAATTCGCGCAAAGGTTA